CTGAACCTCTAAACAGTCTGGCACTGGCTGAAGTGAGAGCCTCAGGACAAATGAGATTACAATTGTGCAAACACCTGTGAGGCAGAGAACCCATGGCAAGGAAGGACGCCAGAAAGTGAGGAGAATCCAATAGTATTTGTTTATAGGAAACCTGAAATATGATGCCACTTACCACATCTCACAGGTATGTCCTGAACAACGACATATATTTAAAACAAGCTTTATTCCTTCAGCACATTTTGAAATGTTACAAACGTTGACAAATCTCATCATACATTTTTCCCCCGTTACAATCACTCAGTGTTCACTCAAGAAACAGAAGTAAATCTAATTATTATAATGGAGTGAATTGAATATGGGCAATAAGCTGGATAGTTACTACAGGACAAAGGCCAAAAGGGGACACTGAGTCACAGAGACAGTAACTGAAGGAGCCTGTCAATCACTGAGGGCTCAGGAGTGGGAAGGGAGTGAGCACACCCTGTAACTCCAGCCTCATAACCCTCTGAAACGTGATGAGGTGTCAGAGCCAACAATCTGAAAAATGATGTGCCCACGAGGTAGAATTCCTAGGTCTAGGTGTTACTACTCATGGATTCTCCCACATACATTCCAACGGAGCAGCTCAGGTCCTGCCATAGACTTTTCCACTGTGGAACCTCCTTAGGGCATTTTTAATGTCCCTGTTCCTCAGGCTGTAGATGAAGGGATTCAACATGGGGGTGACAATGGTGTACATCACTGAGGAGGCCACACCCTTTCTGGGAGAATGTGAAACAGCTGACCCAAGGTACACCCCAACACTTGTTCCATAAAATAAGACAACATCTGAGAGGTGAGACCCACAGGTGGAGAAGGCTTTGTACTTCCCCCCTGAGGATGGGATTCGCAGAACGGAGGAAACAATTTTGTAGTAAGAGAAGAGTATTACTGAGATGGGGAAAAACCAAATATGGCACCAACAAAACATGTGACTAGGTTTTTGATGAAGGGTTCAGAACAGTCAAGATTAAGGATTTGAGCAGGTTCACAGCAGAAATTATAAATTTCCACATGCTTGAAGTAAGCAAATTGTAAGACAATTAAATTATGCAACTGGGAGTCCAAAAGGCTAAGTAAAAAAGACACAAAAACCAAGAAGCCACAGAGGTGAGGGTTCATGATTACTGGGTAATGCAGGGAGTGACACATAGCCACAAAACAGTCATAGGCCATTACAGTCAGAAGCAGATCATCCATACATCCAAAAATGATGAGGCAAGACCTCTGTGTCAGGCAGCTCACATAAGAGATGACTCTGCTGTGAGTTTGGATGTCCACAATCATTTTAGGGACTGAGGTGGAGATGAAGCAGATGTCAGCCAAGGACAGGTTGGAGAGGAAGAAGTACATGGGGGTGTGGAGGTGGGGGTCAGAGCTGACGGCCAGGATGATGAGCAGGTTCCCAAGCACTGTGACCAGGTACATGGACAGGAACAGGCCAAAGAGGACAGGCTGCAGGTCTGGATCTTCTGAGAGTCCTATGAGATGGAATTCTGACTTACCTGTTAAATTTTGTGATTCCGTATTGCTTGGGCAACTTTTGCAAAAAGAAAAATAAAAGTAAAATTGTTGGGGAAAAAAGAAGTAAGTTAACAGGCACTCGGTACTCCACATATATTTTGAACTCACATATTCACAATTTAAGTGTTCACACTTCAGTTCTGTAAACCCCCA